CGTGAACTCGCGATCCACGCGATCCACGCGATCGAAAGCTATCTAAGTACATCGATCGGTCGCAATGATCGTTCCGTTGTCGAAAAGCCAGCTGCGTCGGTCCAATTCGTTATCGATATCGACGCCTGTTCTCACTTCACTTTCAGACCGAGAACCGCGGCGAATAGCGCGAAGAAGAAGCCCGCGAGCAACGCGGTGGCCTTCAACAGTATTAGCCCTCCGATCATCGTTGGAATCAGAGCAACGAACTTCAGCTTGTAGGCCATTAACAGCGCCATCATCGTACGGTCCATTTTCCGCTTCCTTCGGCGAGGACGATCTGAAAGCGATTGGAAATGTTACCAATTGCCGTAATTCTCTTAGCGTCGGTTACCGCTTCCTTCGAATCGATCAGTCTGTCGTAGACACGTGTGTGTGCACGGAAACTATTTATTTAAAGATGAATTTCTGTTTCGCGATTCCAGCTTTACAATGTATTGTAAGGAATTAATAAACGAGGTTAAATATATCGTACGATCAAGTGTTCATGTTTCGTATCGTAAAAATTAATCCAAATATTTGAAATCTCAACAATTCCGATAATTCAAAATCTCGATGATTTCAATAATTTCAGCAAGAGTGACGATCGCGAAGAGGTTTGTTGAGAGAACAAAGAGAATTCGATATTACCTGGTGTATGTAGGTAATCTTTCGACAAACCCAAACCAGTATTCCTTGTCTTCACCACTTTCGTTTTATCTTCACCGCGTAGAACAGCCACACTGTTTGGTGCAATCTTGTTGTGAACCTCCTTGATAACCTTTTTCACAACAGAGTACTCCTTGTGGTTTGTACGCTTGTCGTCGGACTTCAAGCCATCCAACACGCGTAATACACAGCTCAGAGTTAATAAAATCGCGACCAGATTCACTCTCGGTTTCATCTTCCCGAGTTTACGTCTCCGATGGAACGTTGCTTCCGGTTACATCGTCGGGTCACAACGATCTTCTGATTCTTTTGCTGATCACGATAGAGCTGCTTCCTCTAATGCCCGCACCATGACTTTACTTAATCATCTGTTTCGACGTTCCTGCAACCGTGAAATGGCGACTGAGTTTGATATTCTGACAGAATGGCCAATTCAAATTCAAATATGCTCAATAGTTTGGCAAAATAATATTTGAAAATCACAAAGATGCCATGATCATGAAGTGCTTAAGGGAACAATTTCATCGAGAAGTCCTCTGACAATTTAGAAAGGACGCGAGAGATACGTGCGTTCGAAGTGGTTCGAAGAGAGATT